GTAAAACGACTTGAGTATATCTAGTGTAGTTGAAACTATTTATATAATCCAATATATAAGAACATGCAAGTTATCATATCTAGATGTTTTAATAGATTATAAATTATAAACTTATATCTAAACACAAGTATAAAACATTTAGTATGATAAAGACAATTTCTTGTTTTTTGACTTTTCTGTCCCTGTTTTTAGAAAAAATTTAGAAAAATCATCGTGAGTCGAAATTTGGATCCGTAAACTCTGAGAGTTTGAAAAATGAGTCTACTTTGTTCACAATTATTGTTATAATTTTTAATTGCCTCAAACCAGTGTGAAAATGTTCATCTTCACAGAACGGTCTGAAATTATTCCTAATTTGATAGGAAGTTTTGTGAAAATCGCCAAAAATCGTATGAACGCGTGAGAGTAATCATTAGAAAGGTATAAACCTAATCTATTTGCATGTAAAACAGTTTTGAAAAATATTAACTTCAAGGTGGTCAAACCAGTCCGTAAATGGACCATAACTTTTCTGTTGAAAGTTGAGGGTTAAGTTTAAGTTACACATGTTTGAATCCAACACTCATTTTTGCCATTTTTGAGGGTATATCCCTTATCCACAAGTATTGATGCAATATATATGTTAACAAAAACATTTCCCATTATTTGTATGAAGTTGTATGAGATAAACTCCATGTTCATGCAAATACCCAAACGAGATTTTGACTTGTATCCCCCCCCCCCCCCCCCAAAGAGTATGAAAAACATGAAAAGATTGGGGTATGAAGATCACTTTGAGGATTTTTAAGATGTAGAAGAAGAAGGTGAAGAAATTTTGAGTCTAGCTTGTGTTCCTTGTGAGATTCTTTAAATGGTGGTGTTTCTAAGAGTTTAACACACAACAAAAGTGTGTAAATGGAAGGTTTTTGTATAAAAATGAAACAAATCACTTTGAGTTTGACATGTACTTACTAAGTTCTTGAGATTGCTTGAAGGAACTTCACCAATTGTATGCACCCACACGGAATTTTTTGGAGAGGAGAAGTGGAATGTTTTAGAGAGTTAAATTAAGAAGATGAGATTTGTGGAGTGTGTGTGTGTGTGTGTGTTTGTATGTGTATGGCTGAGAGATAAGAGGGAGAGAGGGAAGAGCTGACTTATTTCAATTTTGATGGGAGCATGCATGGATACATGCAAGTCCATAGCTTTGTTATGTGTGGTGTAAAAGTGAGGTAGCATGGTAAGTTATCTTTTTCTTTTCATTTTTTTCTTTTTTTTAATTAACCTATAACCGAGCCCAAAAGGGTTCTCGTCCCAAGGTTGGCCCAAAAATATTTGTGGGCTTTGGTTTGGTTTGACCCAATAAAGATCTTTAGCCCATTGATGCTTAATAAGAGGTTTTTTTTGTTAAAAGGCCTAAAAATGGGAGTTCTGGGTCCAACTAAGGCCCAAGTATGGATTTTCAGCCCAATACAATCTTTAATAAAAGTTTTCAGCCCATTAGGGCCTAAAGAGGGGGTTATCGGCCCAACAAGACCAAAAGGGGAAGTTATCGACCCAATAGGGCCCAATAAAGAAGTCTTGGTCCAATGAGGGATTTGGGTTGAGAGTTCATGAGTTAGATCCCAAAAATGATTGGACATGGTTTATTGGATCGAGATTTGGACTTGTATGAGGTTGTTTCGACTTGAATTGCAATGTATGAAAGTATGAACTTACATGGCATTGTAGTTTGAATTTCACTAAATGGGTTTTTACGAGTTTATACAGAGAAATTTTCTTGTACAAGGATCAAAATCTAACCCTAATTTGCTATTTGTGATACGTTTCATAGATGGCTTGGCGAAATCGCAAATGTGTGATTTTGGTAACTAAAAATGCAATAATTTGGTTTTTTTTTGCTATTTTCCACAAAGTAATTAGGGTTTTTTTGGCTAAATTTGTAATTTTCTCAAAAAAAAATTAATGAAAATTAATATTAATGAAAACGAAAACTATAAAAACAAATTATATAAGAGACATAAAATATTACTTTAAAATATAATAAAAGATCTTAATCGCAACTTACAAAATAGCAATAATATCACTTTATAGTAATTAAGGATGAAAATAATTAATTCAAAATTAGTTGAAGGGAAAAAATTAAAATATAAAAGTTTTGCTATAAGAAAATCAAAATTCCTATTTCCAAATAGCATTTTATTTACTTTTAGTATCAAATGCTATAAAAATCATAATATAATATAAATTTGGTAGTTTTGGTTCAAAGTAAAAACCAAATGAATAGTAATTTGTATTTAATATATATATATATATATATATATATATATATATATATATATATATATATATATATATATATATATACTTTAATAAGCATTTAGCCTAAAATGCTCAATTTTAAGAGGTAGACCCCTTAAAACAGCATTTACAACAACATTAAGCAATAAAATTATGGGATAATGTCATAAAAAGCCTTAAGTTTGGCAAAAAATATCGGTTTTACCCTTCGGTAGATTTTTTGTTTGTTTATACCGCAAATTTGTCATATTTTTGTTGGTTTTGCCCTTGTTACCTGCAATAGCATGTTTCCAGGTTATTATGAATTATTTTTTTGCAAAAAAACCCTTAAGTTTACAAATATTTTGCAAAAAAACCCTTAAGATTATAAACATATAAAATATAAATATATATTCAAAATTTTATAAAACTAAATAGTTTTCTATTGAAATATATTTTTAGCTTTACATACGGTAACTTTTATATTTGTTTGATATAAACTTTTTATATTTAAATTTTAAAAAACTTACCTAGTTTTAACAAAATTTGAATATATTTCTTAATTAATACTTCAACTTTTCAAAACAAAATTAAAAAACATTTGTTAGTTAATAAGTAATTATGCTAAAATAGTTATTATGAATAATATGGTATCATGTACATTCAATTAATTTTTTTAAAAGGTAAATAAAAATATTTTATATGTTTAAAAGGTTTGTATTTCAGAAATACTAACATATCGTATTTTTTATATGTTTAAATACATAATAATATTATCATATTTTTTTATAAAAATATCATAAACATGTTAAACATCAAAAATAAATATAAACATTTTAAACATATAAAATATAAATATATTTGTCTAATTTATTATATAAATATATTTTTTTATATAAAATATGATAGTTTATTATTTCTGAAATTCAAACCTTTTAAACATATAAAATATTTTTATTTTTCTTTTAAAAAAAATTAATTGAATGTCACTAATGTTATATTATTATTAGCTAACAGACGTTTTTTAATGTTACTTTTAAAAGTTTAAGTATTAATTAATAAATATTTAAATTTTGATAAAACTAGGTAACTTTTTTAAAATTTAAATATAAAAACTTTATATCAAACAAATATAAAATTTACCGTACATAAAGCTAAAAATATGTTTCAGTAGAAAACTATTTAGTTTTATAAAATTTTGAATATATATTTATATTTTATATGTTTATAATCTTAAGGGTTTTTTTGCAAAATATTTGTAAACTTAAGGGTTTTTTCGCAAAAAATAATTCATAATAACCTGGAAACCTGCTATTGCAGGTAACAAGGGCAAAACCGACAAAAAAATGACAAGTTTGCGGTATAAATGAACCAAAAATCTGCCGAAGGGTAAAACCAACATTTTCTGCCAAACTTAAGATTTTTTATGACATTATCCTAAAATTATTTGGTCAACCATTGAAAAAGTCAACGTCCTCTTATTAAGTTTTGACCTTGATCATTCCTTTATCTCGGCATTCCCCATATGTAGTTGTTTCTGTTCATTGCTCATATAAAATTGAAGACATATTCGAATAGAAGTTCACTTGAGTCACTCATCACATTGATTTAGCGTGAGTCTTTTTCCTTAATTATCTCTATTGTTCTCCTTAGACCTGAATTTTTCCGTTTGAATTCTCAGCTAATCCGCAACTTTGTTGTTAAAACACCCACCAAACTGATCGCAGAATGGACGTAATGTGTCAACCTGTAAATCGTCAATCTGGATCTAACGTAGAGTCATCGAAGCGAAGTTTGTTTTTTGTTTCTTCCTCACAAAGGATGTTGTTGCTTTCTCAAAGATTTTAAGGCATGTCCATTGAAGGCAGGTATTTTTTTTTTAATATTTAGCAATTTTGGGTTCCATTTTGTACTGCTTTTTGAGTTTTGAAGATCAGATATGGGTTTGGTACAATTGAAGGAGAATCACATGACCAGAAGAGCAACAACCTTTACAGTCTCTAACCCCCGACATCACCACCACCGATTCTCCCTTCTACGACATGTGGCTATGTAGTGGCTTGAGTGGATGCATTCGATTATGGATCACGGTGGTGTTCTATTTTGTTGAAGGTCCGACTATGGTGGTGGGTCATTCTATCCAAAAACCTAGCAACGTCACTAATCCGTTATGAGATTCAAATTTTAATCAGATTCCTCATATCTCGGCGTTTCCCCATTTTTAGCTGAAGTTGAATGATTCATGTTTAAAGTTGGGAGAATCATTCAAATTGGAATAAATCAAAACTCGCACTTCACGCATTCTTAGGGCTCACCTCCTCCACCTTCGACTACCAACTATCTCTAGCCACGGAATATCCCTTCTCTATAAATTTCTCATTGAGTTCAGTAAGCTAACTCTAGAGTAAGTTTCTTGGTGGTTTATTGCTGTCACCGTCACCACCTGTTCTTTCTGTTTGTGTGTATATATATGTTTTTGTGTGTGTATTTGCACTGATTTTTTGAAGTCTTATTGGAAGACAAGTGAAGAAGGCTGCCGATGTTAAGGTATGAAATTAGTTTATGTTATCTTCTACTTCCCTGTGATTTTTTATACATTAGAACTTAGGGCATTTGCCTTTTTCATACATCAGGTAACTTATGTATCATGTGCAGCTTCACTAATGTTTTACCCAAGATTGTATTCTTCTTTTTAATTTTTCCTATCATCCATGGCTGAAATTAACTTTATTTTTTATTAGGTATTATGTGTTTTGGAGAGCATTGTTGATGTTAATCATGTTTCTTCGTCTTCCTTTATGTTTTTTTTATATACATCAGAAGTTAGAGCTTGCACATATCTGAATCCTCATAGCATTTGGGAATTTTATGAAATGAGGAAATGGATGATGGTTAGCTTTTTATTTCCATTTCTGTTAGTTTCTTCTTTATATTGTATACTAATCAGAAATCCAACAAATCTTTATTGTTTCTTGATTCTTTTTCATCTATTTGATGTGAAGCGATTCAAGGAGATTAAAAGTTGCCCCGCCATTGTGATGGTTGAATGCACTAAAGTTTTTTTTTTTTTTTTTTTGAATTTCTACTTTCTTCAACTGAAAAAAAAAAATTCAGGTAACCTGCAAATTTTACTGCAGGTAACATTATTAATTCACGTGGTAAGAGTGTAACCATTTAATTTCTCTAATCTTTTGATGAAAATAGAGAAAAGAGGTCAAATCATAGTCACAAGGATCGCCAATATAGCCACGATCCACGTTACGAATGCCCCGTTCCCAAACGCGGTACAATTTCGTACCAATCGCCAGCCGAAACGCTCTTTGGTACGGCTTCCTTGCGATCCATTCTATTCTCCGATTCACTACTGGGAACGTGATTTTGACGAATTTTATTGCACTAAAACGCGATTGGGATCGCCAATTTTGTGTCTGGAACGCCGATTTTGTGTTTTGGCGGGAAATACTTTTCCTGTGAAAAACATGTCGACGCTTGATTAAAGTCCATCGATTCCAATGCTTTCAATTCTCACATCTGATTCCTCCAACATCCATCGATTCAATTTATTACATATGATGTTACTAATTTCACCAACATCACAATCGATATCTGCTTTCCCCTGTATTCTTCCAATACGCTGTATTCATTCTTCCTTTTTTTTTCTTATACTATTCAGTATTTCTTTTCTTCTTTGAAATGGTTTTTGGAAAGATTTTTACTCTTCTAGAAGACAGTGAAACAGAAGCCCCTGGAAACTTTGTTGATCTTGGCAAGGATAATGATTTTGTTTAGCTTAATCTGTTTCTATTTTTCTAAGTGAAGTTGGAGTTCTATTTTTTATGTTTTAACATCAGGTTTAGGTTTATGACTAAAATTCTGGAATTCTGTTTTGAATTGTTTTTTAATATAATCTGTTTATGTTTTTTTAATATAATTTGTTTATGTTTTTTTCTAAGTGCACCAGAATTCTGTTTTCAATTAGGTACATGTATCGGCTTATATGGTACACCGTACTGGAACGTACCGAAATGAGCATACCCCCACCGTACCCGATACATCTTAACCTAACGAATCGCGTTCCCGATCCTCGTTCCCGGACCGGAAGGTACCACAAACTATGTGACTATGGGTCAAATATATTGCCTCCAATTGTGGATAATAGGTAAAATTGTTTACTCTACACTACTTTTGAACTGGATCCATATTTCTATAGGTTTCTGACCAATATTTTTTTATTTTAGTTTTGAGGTGAAAATTATAAATCAGCCTTCCTTAAGTATTAGAATTTGATGGCATTTTACCCTTTTTTACCATGCCCTTCATAAGCATTGCTTAATGGGTAAAAGATGTATTTTTCTAATTTTCCTTCTATCTAAAAATGCCCCTCATTTTGACATCTAAATATTATGGAATGATTTTTCTAAAAACTCTTATGTTTCCAATTGATAATGTTGGCAAAAGAGGTGGATCTTCAACATGTTTTGACAAACTGGGGGTAAAATGGTCCAAGTTTTTGAAACTTGCCAAAATAGCAACCATAAGTCCATAAAACTCAAGGGTGTTCCAGATCAGATCTTACATCACCCAAGATAGCATAATACATACATCTTTGTACAATGTTGCTCATATTTTGAGGGTTCATGGGCTTATTTTCTTTTTAATTAAATTTATGATATTTTAGTTCTTATCTTCATTTTTTGTGGTTCTTTTTGACTTATGGTTTGTTCCTGGACATGATTTTTTTTTCATTTGTTGACACATATTAACCAATTTGTTTCAGATCTCTATTTAAAACATTGTACTTTCATCACCGTCTTTGTGTCCTACCATCATTTCATGCTTAAACATCAGGTTCTACCATCACATGGTCATTTTCATATCTGCATTTACCTTTTTACCCTTTTTAATCATTTACCAATCTTAAGTGGTACTAATTCGTCAACTTCACTTTTTTCTTGGGATTTGTTTCAGTTGGCTGTCTCAAATATCTGGCTTAAACAACATAATATTTCTCCAAGTGACCAAGTAAGTTGCTTTAAGTTTAGATTTAGTAGTCCTTTTTTAAAAACTACTTATTTTACTTTTTTGATTGGTTTTGTCCTATTGCCTGTTAATTTTATTATGATCACCTCATTAGTTAGGTAAATCATTTCTACTTTATACGGTTTGATTGTAATAACATGTTTAATAGGAATATGTAATATTTTATGTATTTCACTCTCAGGTTCAAGAAGGAGAAAAAACGAAGTAGATAACAACTGTTTTTTATTTACAGGTTTAAAAAGGAAAAAAGGTATAGAAAAGAGAACTTGAAGTTTTTGGATTGATGTGTTTTTATGGTAGTGAATTTGTATTCAAAATGACAAAACAAATATGATTTTGAGTTTATTTTTATGTAATCGTTTTCGATATAAATGATTTTTAAGAGCAGAGATTTGTAATGTAATATTTAGAATTTTATCAAACATTAATTGAAAGCAAAATCCAAGCTCAAAGTCAGAAAATAAATTTGAGCATGTTGCAGTAAAATTAGGTAAAGTAGGTGGGATCCATATTTTGGTTAGTTGAAGATGATTTGAATTAATACCACATTACCGATTACCGATTACCGATTTGAAATTTAACATTTATTTGAGACAACTAAAAAAAATAGATTACTTATGATTAAATAACATTGATAGTGGGTTTTTCTAGCCCTCCAACATATGTTCATCTGCACAATAATTTTTAAAAAGTTTTGTATAAATTACATTAAAATGTTACATTAGAACCCCCAGAGTTTCTATACTTTTTATTTTGACCCAAACATAAAGATTTAAGTTATTAGAAAGTTAAATAAACGTAGAATGATAACATTAGTTTTGAAGTAAATTTTTAGCTAAAAGAAGTTATTACTTTTATAAACCAACCACATAATTTTGAAAAATTAGATTATTGCCCATTAAAAGTAGATAGTTATAACAAACAAACCAATAAAAAGATATGTTGTTATATCCTTCATTTGTCCCTAGCAACAAACAATGCTTAAGTATATTTTTGAAAGTATTTTTCCATGCCATTGAGTAGTCTATAGTCATGTTTTAAAGTTATTATTATAGATATGTCACAGTTAACATTTATAGTCTTCTCGTGGTAGAAAATAACAAGAAACTTAATAGAATATATATTTTAAGTTTAGAGGTTAATTTCATGCCAAATAAATATGTTGAAACTTTTTGTGGTTTGGTACATTTTTATCGATATATAATTTAATAAATTTATTTAATATTACTTTATTTCTAAAAAAAATTAATATTTATATAAATCTTATTCATACTGAAGAAAACTAATTTAAATAAGTGCTAAATCTAATTTCTGACATAAATAAGTACCAATAAGACATAATTGGTCAATTTAATGTTTGGATAAAGAAAAGAAAAATACAAGCAACAAAGTATTTGTTACAAGTCGGAAACAACAAAGTACATGTTACATTATCAATAGAGATATTATGTGCCAATACAAAAGTAACGAACAATTCAACAGTATTAAAGTCTATACATTAAACGAAGTGTATAAAAAGTGTTGCAGTATTAATAATGCAAAGTCGATCATGTGTTCATGTACATTTGTAAAGAATCCCAAATTTTTATTTTTAATTCTTACTGATTTCGTTCATGCTAGCATGACTCTTACTAATAATTGTTTACATATAGTAAACTATTTGCATAAAACAACTAATCGTCTCTAGAAACTAATTTCATAAAGAAATTAGTTGTACCCGCCGCTTAGCGCGGGTAAACGGCTAGTGTGTGTGTGTGTGTGTGTGTGTGTGTGTGTGTGTGTATATATATATATATATATATATATATATATATATATAATAACAAAATTATATCGAAGGTCGATGAGGTTAGCGGTGAGCAAAAACCGAACCGCAAATCGAAACCGAAAGGAAAACCAACGGTGCAGTTTTTAGTTTTTCAAAAACCAAAATTGTTCGGTGCGGTGCGGTTTCTAGTCTTGTACAAAAAAACAAACCGCATGGTGTATGTGTGTGTGTGTGTGTGTATATATATATATATATATATATATATATATATATATATATATATATATATATATATATATATATATTAAGTATTGATATTTGTAGGAACGTACAACTCATGACAATTAAAATTTCAATATATATAAATATCAATCTTATCAAAGGATGAATGTATATTTTTAAGGATACTTATAATGATATTTACAAGAACAAATAATGTTTATTACATTTTTTAACATTTAAATATAAAGAATATTAGTGATGATAGTATAATTTTTATAAATATAATAATTGACATTATCGCATTTACCTGTAAAACAAATATTTTATTTAATTCGTATTATATTCAAGTATTAAAAGCATGTTGGATGAGTGGTTATGTCATCTAATTCCAAACCAAGAGATGGTGGTATCAGTTCATCTCCAAGATATCATTTGGGCTTTAATTTTATTAACCTTATAAGAATATCCCGGATCACCTTTGAGATACAACATTCATCATTCTCACGTTTCATATAAGTTAGTCAATTTGGCGCTCCTCATCTGTATATAAAGTTTCTCAAGAAATGATTAACACTCCTCGTCCGAGTCAAAGTAACTTATTGAGTTATTGAGTTTTAGTAAGAAGGCAAAACAAAAACCAAATAAAAAATTTACAAAAAACTGGAAAAAAAACCCGCATAAAAGCGAATGGTGCCGTTTCTAAACTTCAAAAAATCAAAGTTGCAGTTTTTTGTTCGGTTTTAGCCAAAAACCGCATCAAACCGCCTATGCTCACCCGTAGATGAGATTATGCTTCCTAAGGGAATAAAAGTAAAAATGTTGTTTTATTTAGATAAAAATTGTAAGTGGATTTCTCAGCTTCCGTTTTTTTATTTTATTTTAATAACGTGTCCTTAAGATTTGGGTGAAGTATAAACACGTAGGGTGCTAAGACTTTGGCATCAAATTTACATGAGACGTGATAATTAATTATAAGTTATAACCGACTTTCTTCTTTAACATGTTAAATATAAATCATTTACGTAATGCTTAACAAAAAAAAACTTTGAGATAATGATCTAATTAAACCTTTGTTTATTTTATTTTAATTTTATTTTTTGCTTTCACTTATCAACTACTTATCGAGCGTGTCTTTTATATTTTTAGATTGTTTAATTTTTAAACCCAATTTTGTTTTTTTGTTTCTTTTTTTCAGAAAAAGCTTTCATATTGTTTAAGTTGTTATTTATGGTCTTCTTGGTGGCTATCAACATTAAGTTTCGAAGTAAACAAAATATTCTTTTCAACACAAGGTTAAAGACTAATGTGTTTATGGCTTCTAATTTGGAAATTATACATTTTACATATGTTAACTTAGATGGAACTATTATGTGTCTGCTAATTGAAAAACTAATGTTTCGTTTGGTTCGTTGGAATTCATTGAAATTAGAAGGAATTAGAATCTAATTCTATAACTTTCTTTTGTTTGGTTCGAGCTTTCAAAAGGAATTGGATTCCTAAATGAGTCAAATTTTCCTTCCAACGAAAGAAAATAAATTCCATCAAAAAACTTAAGAAATTAAAATTTCTTTCAAGTGAGAAATATTGAATATTACCATATTACCCATTTTACTTCTAACACTACATATGAAACCCCTTTGTCACCACCGCCACAACCACCTCCACCACCACCCACCACCACCGCTACACACCACCACCACCACCTCTACCGCCACCCACCATCACCGCCATCAGTACCTCCGTTACTACCACCCTCCACCCACCACCACACATCACCGTCATCACCACCTCTACCACCACCCACCACCGCCACAACCACCAATCACCACCACCGTCACCATCACTCGCCACCACCACCACCTCTACTACCAGACTACCTTCCACCTCCACCACCACTCACCACTACGACCTTATCATCTTTGCCGTCACCACTGTCATCACCTCCGCTACTACCCACCATCACCTCTGTTGCCAGCATCACCACTATTTCCACCGTCAACATCACTGCCACCGTCACCATCATTTACTAA